CTGGGTCTCCACGTGACCGCAGCCGTAGGCGCAGCAGATCGCGTCGGGCCGCTCGACTTGGAGGTGGGCAAAGCGGCAGTTGACAGGGAGCATGCGGAAGAGCACACGCATCCAGACATCACCATGCAGCGGGGGGAGCTGCCGGCAGACCCGTCGGACACGCCGCACGTAGCCCCTGAGGTCGGCCGGGGTGGTGCGAGCGGAGGACGCCATGGGGTGGGGCATGTCGGCTACAGGGGCGTGGTGGGCCAGGGCGAGCACCATGGTCCTGGGCCAGAGCTCGAAAGGCTGGGGGGTGTCCTTGACCAGCCCGTAGAAGGGATGTCGGGACATGGGGGCAGCAGGTGTGGTGGGTGGGGGGTCCTGATGACCTTGGGGGATGGCTTGGTGCACGGCAGTGAGGTGGTTGTACAGCATCACAGCACGGTACACGGGAGCCCACTGCATGGAGCCATCGCTGCCCAGCTCAACACGGGCCGCTCGGTTGTCTTGGGACATCATGGAGATAAACTCCTGGCGTGTTGGCCAACGTCCATGGACGGCAACAATGCCGTGGAGACTGTGCAGGCCATTGGCGACGCCATACATACACCACCGGCGCGTGGGGGGTGTGGTCACCACACTGGCCGCGCACTTGCCGTTCGCCATGGTTGGGGCATACTGGGTGAGCCACACAGGCATGTGCAGCAGAGTCGCTGGGGTGACCGGCAGTTGGATGCGGCGATCCATCGGGGTGGCAGACCATTGCTTCCACACGTCTCGCCATAGGGGGTGGAGTTCCCACAGCCTGAGCCACTTGGAGCTGGGGTGGGGGTGGTAGAGGAGGAAGTCGAAGGGGTGCACAGCGCGATATAGCTTGCCAATCGACCGTGCATACTGGCGCAGGACCAGGGGTTGCCACAGGGGAGTGGTGGCAGTTGCTGGGCTGAGCGTCCTTTGAAGGAGCATGAGCCGTTGGGCTCGCAGCTTGGACGCAATGTGTGGGAGCCCAAGGCCCAGTTTGGGGTCGAATTGCCACGGCGCAGCCAGCAGTGGGCGATAACGGGCCGTGGGCACGGTCTTGGAGCCGAGGATGTAGCGGGTCAGCATGGACTGCCAGGTCCGCACCATGTCGTCTGGCACCGGGGTGACCGCCGTGACATGCCATAGGAGCGATAGCATGACGGTGTTGGCCAGGAGCCGGCGTCCTTGGAGGGTACGGGCTCGGCAGCCCCACAGCTGGAAGCAGGACATGAACCGCTCATGCACCCGTTGGAGCTGGAGGGTGGCCGGGAGTTG